TTCATTTGCACCAAATCTTAACACTTAGAACAAACTACATTCATTCTTATGATTATTATTAGTACTCACTTCTAACTAGAAACACTGTGACCTCCTTTCAGAGGCATAAATGGCCCGTTTTTACTGGTGCCAATGGGTCACCTATTCCTCCCACAGCTCCACACAATCACTGAAATTTTGTTACAATTCAGAAAATTATTTTCTATTTCTACACAGATTTACACTTCAGTACAGGGTTTATTTTATAATATAAAACAACTCCCCTGCCACTGTCCTGTTGTGCTGCTTTGGATTCCTTACAGGCCTCACCACTATGCTGTATGATAAATCGGTGTATTGTTTACTTCCTCCATTAACGTGTCAGTCCCACAGGGCACCGCTCCCTACATTCTCAGTGCCTGTAACAGAGCCGGGCGTAGGGCTCATGCTCAATGCCGGGTCAATGAAAGAAGGAATGAATGTGGCCATTCATTATTGTTCCTCCCTTTATAATACTACAAAGATGCTGGGAGACAATTCCACCTCGATCTTTTGTATTTCCATACATCTTGTGAGGAGAGGCACTGACTGCCTTTGTTCTGTACTCTTGTCAAGGACAGCTGTGTAACGAATAGCCTTTAAACACACAGGCAGTGCCTCCCTCAAGTCAGCATGTTGCCCCTGGGGCAAGGTCAGGCAAGCTCACGCCCAATATAAAGACCCTTTTCTCTAACAACTCCTGTACTTGCAGGCACCACGTGGTCTCCTATGCACTGCCCTGTGGGAACTGATGCAAATACTGATATACTCTGGCTACTCCCACCTGTTACAAACTGGTCTTTTTTATGACCCAAGAGATTTGTATCTTCTGCCAGAATCCATGAAAGGATGGCATGCTAATTTGTTCACTAGCAAGTTGGGTAAATCTCAGGTCATTCAGAGTTCTTTCCAAAGGGCTAAATGATAGCAGGTTTGTGTTGGTAAATTCTTTTTGGGTGTACAAACTCAAAACGTTTTTTTCATAGTTTTCTAAGAAAAAAAAAATACAGTTTACCAGTGTAGATGAACTCTTCTCCTTAAGTATTCTCTAACCATTGCCTAGGATCATCTTTTCTATAATACCTGTATAAAGTCATTTTACATTTTTTTCCTAAATTTTTTTCATTGTAGTTTAAAAAGTTTGACAAGTAGGTATATTCCTTTGAATATTAACACTGAGAGGCTCTCTGTACACTTTCTTAATTGACTGGCTGAAGTCTTTTTCTTTTTCACCTCTAGTTTTGAAAATCTTTATTTGACTATTTCTTTAATTACGTTTTCTGTCTATTTCATCTGGAACTATCATCTATAGAAATTGGATTGCAGTGATCATTTTCTGGGTTTATTAAGTTTTTATTGCACTGCAGTTAACTGTTTTGCTCTATTTAAGTTTTAGCTTTCATGTCCATATTTTTTTATATTACTAGTTTCTGCTGCCTTCAATGTTTTTTTAAGGAAAATAAACATATTAGGGCTTTAATTCTCTTAAACAAAAATTTAAAATTAACATTTAAGTATACCAAGCATGCAGTCCTTATATTTTGAGATAGTCTATCTTATCAGGGAATATTCCTTGAGGTCATTACTAGCTAGCTGAATATAGATTTAAACATTTCTACATTTAGATGAACAAAACAGAGTACAAGTGATTGATTTGTCAAATTCACCACTGAGCCACCATGGCTGCCCTTCAACAATGTTTTACGTTTTCTCTCACACATCACTGTATTCTTCTATGACATCTTCTTGATTATTTTTACTCATTCATCACTTTCAACATAGTCATCAACTCCTTTATCTATTTTTGTTTTTTATGATGTATAGATTCCATCATCTCAGATCTTTTCCCATTGTCTTGTTGCCTCACTTCTCATCCTTGCTGCTTCTAAATTTAAAATTGGGACCTGGGTTACTTCCTGCCTCCCCATGATTTTCTTACCATAATTAAAGCCTAGTTTGTTGACTAAAGTTTCTGTTTTGGATACATACTTCTGCTCTCTTAACAGTAATTACACTGCAGGGCAAAATACTTCTTGTATACACATATGGCTTCAAATAGAGAAGTCATTGAAGGTATATAAGGATACCTTTTATTTATTCTGGGGAAGAGAAGGTAAATGAAGATATAGCCATATTTTAAACTACATATATTTTTTCTCTTCAGTCAGGTTTAGAAAAAGTTTTTCAAGAGAATTACTATTAGAGAGTTTTAAGTTTACATAATATAATCAACACCAGATTTACATAGAATAATGGGGAAAAGGACAGTGAAGGCAGCAAAAGGTCTCATGTTGTGCTTGACAAGGCTTCCTTAATAAGGAAAAAGAGCGTATTTGAACGACAGCTAATAAAGGAATCTTGTTTTTAAAACTGCACTGAGAAACCCAGAAAATCTGTTTATTAAAATGCCTTAATGCAATATCCAATAAATTACAGAGTCAGTATTTTGAGAAGTAGAGGGTTATACTGGTTATACTTTTAAAAATAGGGTGGGCTGCCCTTTCAGAACAGGGAAAAATTCATCTGAGGGACATTAACAGTTAGCAAAGGCAGGATTTAAATTGTTGGGCAGCAACAGAGTTTCTTTAGGAGCTTCATTTACTCTGATTTAACTATAGTCTGTGTGTTTTGAAGATGTTTTCCTATAAATAAATTAGTGGAAAACAATTATTTACAAAGCCAGGGATCTCATTAAGTTAGAAAATATAGTTTTCTAGTTACGATAGGCAAGGTTAACTCCTATATAATGCTTTAAAATTGTTCTGGGCACATGGGGTTTTGTCCAAATGACAAAAGAAATTTATACATCCTTCATTTCATTGGTGACCACATACCCCTGGATCTGTGGCCACTCTTAGACCTAGTTGAAGCTTGGTTCTTACAATGAGATTCTTATAGTTACTTTGTAATAAGAAGTTTAAAAACCTAAACCTTGTAAATTCTTCTTAACTTCTTCTTCATACACCCCATCAGCCCTGAGGCCATTTCTTCAATTTAATTTAAACTCTTGCTATGGTGACTTCTAAGAACAAAAAAGTAGCTGATAACAACTGTATGTTCAGTGTTCTGAAACTCAAAAATGTGGGGAAGAATAATACTGTGGGATGCATTAAGAATTATCAGTTAATGGCAATATCAATGAGGCAGTTTCAAACAGGTAAGAATGAATTTTCATATTGAGTACATCATTAGAATAAGATGACTAGAAAGTTCAGTTGGCAAGAATAACATTAAGTTAAGGTTTTTAAGCAGTTTTGATGAATTGAGTACAGAGGGCACCTTGTACTGTGACATACTTCATTTCCTCACAGGAACTACAATTCTCTCAAGAGATTTATATGATTATATGATTTGAAGCTAGTCAGGTAAGATTGCTTCATTTGGGTGTAAAAACTGTTTTACTCTTTGAAACAACATTAAGTTGCAGCTAAAGGCAAAAGGCTTCCCCAGGGATATCCGGCTTAACAAACGTCTCTTCACTATCAGATAGATGTTGAACATACATGCATAGGACTTGGCCACTTAACCACAAAACACTTAGTGCTAGTGTAGAAATGGAAAACAGGTTGCACAGTGGCTCTTAAAGAGGACTCTGAAGCCATATCCAGGTCTCTGATATCAATTAATGATGCCTTGAAAACAGCTAAGTATGGCAGTATCTGTGCCAGTTTATTGTATATTAATTCAAAAGGCAACTAAATTATTACAGAACACAGGCACATTACACTTCTGAGCAAATGAACAAATCTGAGCTAAGCAGTTTTTAAAAATCTAGTATTATACAGTATATATGCCCTATGTACTATAGTATATACATCAATATAAATATTCTCTAAACATTTTATAGGGGCTAAAGAACCTTAGTTTTTACTTCTGATAAAAAAATGAAAGTTGTACATCACATGAACTCTGAATTTTTTTCATATTAAAGAAGTCTATCATTGCTTCTAACTTAAAACATTAATGATATCTTGCTTGTTTTAACTCTAAATGTCACTACTGCTTACAAATACTTTGAGCAAAAAAAGAGAGCTGCTTCTTTATTCTCAAGTGTACTTGCACACCAAAAAACAAGAAAGCTTCCTTTGTCCTTTACTAACTGAATTCAATATTTAAAAAATATTTTGACAGAAGTCAACTGTTTATTAGCCTATCTCTGACCACAGGTAAAATATAGCTAAGCAGTTAATCACCTTGCTGTTTTTCTAATTTCTTTTTCCTTTCTCTCCAAGACTTCTTCACTCCATAGAAGGACTTTTAGAGCTAATTCCAAGTTTAATGGGTGAAGAATGCCACAAATGAATTAATCACTATTTACAAAATGAGTCCATTTACGGGTAGTCGTATGAATTACTCTAACTGAAATTATGGGTTAGAAATTACAGGTTAAAGACACATGTGGAAGACACAAGTTCTAGTTCGGACACTGTCAGAATCTAGCTGTGTAACCTTGGACAAGTCACTTATCTTCTCTGGCTCTCAACTTCCCCATCTATAAAATAAAGGGACTAAAACCAGATAATTGCTAAGGTCCTTTTCAGTACCTAAGTTCTAGCTTTCCCTTCACTTCCTTAACAAGGAGAGGAAAATTGAAAATCAAAATACAAAACAAAACAAAAACAAAAATACCCTAAAATGATTGTTACTAGTCTAACAGTTGTTACTTAACAGCTCAAGGTCTACTACGGCAGTTTACACTGTTTACAAGGTGACAAGTTAGGAAGGCTCATTACTAAAATATGCAATAAAAGTGGTTTGGATGTCACACTTTCCACGCAAAGATGATCCAAACACCACTGAGTTGCAATGGAAAAGTACCAGCCCAGGAGTCAGGTTTTAACTTGGTACAGTGGCATTTCTTAGTAATGTAACATCTCTGGGTCTTGATTTTCTCAGATGTAAATGACAAAATTGTACTAGATTAGCTCTAAAACCTTTCCTAAAACCCAAATTCTATTTCTCAGTGGTTATTCTCAACCTACCCTTTTGTAATGCATTGCTTCCAAAAACAGCTTGGTTTGCTTATAGACTTCTTGGCCTGTCTTGTGGAAGGTCTTGAGAAATTCTATGAACTCTTTAGACACTCTATCCGTTTCAATGCTGGTCTGCCGGTTTATGGAAGGACTGGGAGCTTTTGCTTCCTGAATTTCTGCTGGGAAAATTAAAAATAAGTTTCATTATACAGAAGATCCATACATGGAATTACTTTAAGTATCTAATTTCAGATTATTTAAATTATGCTTAATCGAAGTTAAACTTTAAATTATTTTATGTTTAAATATTTGACAACTTTCCTTAAAGCAAGCTAAATCTATTTTATGAGTAGGAATACATGTACATAAAACTACATGACCTAAAATATATCCCTATTCAATTAAAAGTTCATATTTTCTTAGCCAAAATATATCATACTTTTATCTATATAATCGCTAATACTGAAAAGTCACCACTATCTTGAACAGTTTACAAAACTAATCAACAAGTAAAATAACAACCAATAGAAGCACAAAAATGTTAGATGACTTATAAAATGTTAGACAACCTTTCCAAATCCATTTTACTTGCATAAAAGGCAAAGGTTAATTTGTTTATGTGGAGACCAACAGTAATTTATCCACCACTCAGTTTTCAAGTCATACTGCTCAAAATGAAAGAATCCATTCAAAGTAGCATAATGATTATGACAGAGCACACAGCGAAGAGGTAAGGAAGCAAATAAAACACTGTCTGACCAGTTGGCCCCCCAGCTCACTCCCCTCTTCCGTGAATGCACTGAAAGGAAAATGGGGTCTTTACAGGACAGAGATGAGGGGGCTGAAACAGAGTAAGCACTCTCAGGAAGCATGACCTGTCACTTGGCTTCTTATCACATTCTAAGCCTCCTGATTTTGAACTGTGCTCCCTAATGCAATACCTGTAAGATATTAGGTACCTCATACACCCATAATTCCTTTTTAACACAAAAAAGATAATTCAAAAGAAAAAATGTCTTTTGACGATATTAAAATCAACCTATTACATTTTTTCTCAGAGTATTGCTTATAATCTGTTTTTAAACTTTAGTGCCTGAGATACATTTTAATGATGAGTTGAAATAAAAGTTTTAAGATAATAAAGTCATTTCTATTAGAGTGACTGGTTTATTCAGGTGAGACAAACACATGTCAATTACCTAAAAGAATATACTATTAGCTGTAGCAAACTAAAGACTCCACTTCTCACTTATTACATAACCAGTTATCAAACTAATGTGTTACATAAATTGCTTGACTTACGTTCATTTTGAAGCAAAAACGCCCTTACCACCCCTCCAAACTGTACTGTTTAGTTACAACAAAATTGCACTTTATAGTTATCTTTCCAAATCAAGTATTTGCCTATTTTTTAAGTTATCGGGTGCTACCTAACTGTGATTCAAAACGTAGAAGCCCTTAAGGAATTCAACCACATTAAGAGAAAAAATAAAGGAAAGAAAAATAGCACACAGAAACACTGTATGTATGGTTAAAAATACTATCAGTCAAGTCAGACAACAAACTGGAAAAAAAAATGCTTGTGTGTTACATCACAGACAAAGGGCTACTCTCCCTAATGTAAAAGGACATATATAAATAGAGAAGAAAAAAATCCAACAGTTCAATATGAAAATGGGTAAAGAATACAAACAGTAGACAGAAAGGAAACACAGATGAATACCGTATTTCCCCATGTCTAAAAACTGGGTGCGTCTTATACAGCGGTTGTATGAGCGCAAAAACAAGTGCGAAAAAAGTGGGAAAAGCAAGTAAAAAAAACTACAACCACTGTATAAGATGCACCCAGTTTTTAGAACCCAAATTTTTCGAAAAAGGGTGCATCTTATACATGGGGACATATGGTATGTTCAATCTCACTCATGTTAAATACATAGATTAATATAGCATGAGATGTCATTTAAAAAATTAATAGACAAGACTCTGAAGTTTGATGTTGATGAGGATACAGGGAATGGGGGCACTCTCCAACTATGGAACTGGGAGTGTAAATGATGTAACTGCAATGGAATGCAATCTGGTGATAATCATCAAAATTAAAAATACATTTATCCTATGACCAAACAATTCCATTTCTCAGAAGTTTTCTACTAACATATTGTAATTGCACAAGTACAAAATGAAATATGTACAAGGCTACTCATTTTAATGCAAAAGACTGAAATGGCACAAAACAATGACTAAAGGACTAAACTATGGTTTAATCCACAAAATGGAACATCGTATAATTTTAAAATTAAAAATATGCTTTTTATGTACTGATAAGTGTTCTCAAATGTATTGCAAAGTAAAAAAAGCAGGGTATGTGTAGTACGCTATCTTTTATATAAAACGGGAGAATTGGGATAAGAATATATGTATTTATAAATGAAAAAAGCACAGAAGGATATAGAAGAAGATAATAACAAAGGTTGTCTGGATATGGGGGAAGGGTGATGGTAGTCTTTGGAAACTAGATGACTATACCTTTCATTTTTGAGCCATTTGGATGTACCACCTATTGTTTTTAAGAAAAATAAGCAAATCAGGTACAATGTAACTCAAAACAAAAATTCGCATCTTTTCTGAAACACTGTTTATCAATACAGAGAACCAAAAATTGTATTTGACATCCTGTGTGACTAGAAAAAGTTCTTTAATACTTGGAATTTAATCCTTTACTCAATCTGATAATTCCACTTCCAGTAATGTTGGAATAACAGAGACTGGGTTTACCCTGCTGGCTTAACTAGAAAATCAGACAAGAACCATAAAGAAATAATAGTTTTCAGACACTGTACAACAGGCAGATGGGAGAGTAACCCTTACGAGAAAGGGATAAACATGTTAAATGCTACAAGTGCCCCAGCTCACTGCTGGGAGAGTTTTTAAGCCACGGCTCAGGGAGAGGCAACTCAAACAGAGTTTAGACAACTTGTTGAATTGGGGAAACAGAGTTTAGAGCACAGGGAGGCCAAAGTCACTAGAATTGGCATGGCAAAATACAGAGAGGATAGGGCTGCACTGAAAAAACTCTAGGTAACTGCAAAGGAATCCCCTTGAGTTGCTGCATGCTGTACAAGCATGTGAGAAAACTACCTGACTGGGTAAAGGAGCAGGCAGAACAATCCCCAGAGCACACAGAGCTGAGAGAAATTTGTTTTCCCAACAACCAGGAACAAAGAGCATCAGCAATGGCCAATATGTGGGCAAATATAAAAGGCATTTTCTCACTTAAAAAATTTCTTTAAAAGATAATTAACTGTTTGACACTAAAGTAATAATAATGGATTGTGGGATTTATATCATATGTAGAAGTAAAATGTAGGACAACAAAGTATAGGAAGAAAAAAAACATAAGAATGCTGTTGGTAAGATTTTTATATGTAAAGTGGTATAATATTATTTAAAAGTAGAATAGTTAAAGACGTATTTTGTAAACCCTGAACAGATGGATGGACCGATGGAGGGAGGAAGGAAGGAAGGAGCTGATAAGCCATAGCGGAGGTAAAGATATAATCATAAAAAATAATCTATCTGGGCTGGTCGAGTGGTGCATTGGTTAGGAGTTGGCTTAGGACAATAGCGCTGAGCAGCAAGGCCCCGGTTCAGATCCCACATGAGGGCCACTGACGCTGTGCCCTCTACAGCTAAGATGGTGAACAACAGCTCGACCTGCAGCTGGGCTGCCGAGAGTCGCCGGCGACAGCATATGCTGAAGTGGGGCTGGCCTGCAGTGGGCGTGAGCTTTCGTGAGCCACCATGAGTGGCTGTCCAATGGCTGGCGAGCGACTGCCTCACCTGGGAAGACTACAATGATAATACCAACATGGGCCAGTGAAGCGCCGTCCTCCACAACTAGACTGAAGAATAAAAGGACAGCAACTTATCTGTTCTCCTTCCCTGATTCCCCAATGCTGTTCCCCTCCCCCTATTCCCCAATAAAATCTTAAAAAAAAAAAAATCTATCAAGAAATCAGAAAAAGAGAAAAAGAACTGAATCCAGATGAGATAAAAAGAACCAGATGGTAAATGTATAGAATTTATTTAAAAATCTCATTAACTATAAGTAGTCTAAACAGTCCAATTAAAAGTCAGAGATTGTCAGATTAGATAAAAACCAGATCCCCATATCTACTGTCTATAAGAAATCCACTTTAAGTGGAAAGATAGAGATACCTTACAAACTAAAGAAATGAAAAGGATATACTATCGAAACAATAAAAGAGCTGAAGTAACCTTATCAATATCAGACAAAGCACATTTCAGAACACAGAGGATCACCAAGGATAAAGAGGACATTTCATAATGAAAAAGGGGTTAATTCTTCAAGACACAGTAATCCTAAATGTGTATGCACCTAATAACACAGCTACAAAATACATGAAGCAAAAATTGCTAGAACCGAAAGAAGAAAAAAAAATCCACTATTTTATTTGGAGAATTCAATACTCCTTTCCTGGTAATTGATATTACAGGTGATAAAAACTATCCGTAGGCAGAATACTTGAACAATGCTATCAACCAACTTGATCTAACTGACATTTATAAAACATACCACTCAACAAAAACAAAATACACATTCAATCTGACAAAATAATAAGCTTACATACAGCGAATGTTTATGATGTGCTAAGTACTTTTCTAATCCTTTTTGTATAATCCTCACAACTCTGTGAGGTAGTACCTTTATGATGTTTACAAATGAGCAAGCTGAGGTTTAAAGATGTTAAGTAACTTGCGTAATGTTGCAGTTACTTAAGTGGTAAAGGCTGGTTTGAACCCAGGTCTCTGCCTTAACTCCAGAGCCTGAGGTCTTTACTGCACTACAGCTGCCTCCTGATGCCAAAGACAGGCCTGCACACCTTGGAAGGACTCCAGTCCCGGGCTCTGGAGATCTACAACCCAATCAAGAGTGGGAGCTCTGACCACCCTTTATCGCTTTACTTGGGCACACTCCTCCCTCTGCCCCCAGCAAATCCTTTCCCCAAAGACGGAGTAAGGTTTAAAAATCCTCTTTCAAAATGTAAATGAAAATAAAATGTAAGCTGAGGATACTCTGTTTGATGCTATAATGGTGGATACATTTGTCCAAAACCCACAGAATGTACAGCACCAAGAGTGAACCCTAATGTAAACG